TAGGCATAATCACTTAAAAGAAAACTTATGAGCAATATTAGTGAAGTGATTAAATTTTTCATTAAATCTTGTTAAATTTTTTGTGTCAATCAATTTGATTAGCTATATCAATGGATTGGGTTCAGGTTGAATTTGGGTTAGCCTGTCTAATTTGAACCCCTAATTTTGTCACTTCATTTATCATACAACATTTAATAAACACATTTGGCATACACAACTTTATCTTTCTAGTTCAATGGTGACATATGTGACAAGTAACGCATCCCATTGGACATGAACAGTAGATTCAAATAAGACATTTAAGACTTGTTTTGTGGGCTTGAGTGAGATTTAAAGAGTGAGTTTTGTGAAAATAGTTCAATATACTTTATAAACTCATATTTGGTTCAAGATTTGTGGTCAGAGATTTGTAGGGTAAATGAATCCCGACCTATAATAAATAGCGGATAAAATGTGATTTGACATGAATTCATGAGCCCCACATGTATATATGTCATTTACCAAACATGAGATTGAATAGAGTTTTTGTTTCAATCTCATGTACAAATTCTTGGGGTTGGGTTTACAAAGGCTTCATAAATGCAATCTAGTTTGGTTCAAGTATTGCAGAAGCAGTTGGCCACACTTATCGTATACAGTATTATCCTTGGACAGGATATTGAAAGATGGAATAACTTTAAAAATGACTAAAACACCCCTAACTTAGTCAATCAACACCTTATTTTTGGGCAAATTAGTCTTTTGATACATTAAGTATGTCGGTGGAATGTTTTAATCCACTAAATAGGTGGGTATAAATAAGGGGTTTTTTGAAGGCCCGTACACCATAAGACACTTCTTTATTAAAAAGTCTCCTCTAAAAAATGTTTTGAAAAGAACTCTATTTAATAGTAAAAAAGACTATTCTAACCTTTTATACACTCTTCAGCGATGTGGATGCTCCGCCATTAACAAAAGCATTTTACGAGAATCAAGGAGATAATCTTCCTTTTAAAATTTAATCTTCAAAGAGAGCATTCATCCCCCCCCCCCAAAAAAAAAAAATAATAAATAAATAAAACAGGCATTTAGGAAAAGATTTAAAATTCAAAAAATTCTCTCCATTAATTGCATCATCTCAGAAAATAGGGTTTTGAAAAAACTTGTTCATATTCTAAAATGACAAATGTACGATTTCAAGAACATAGTGTAACAACACGCTGGGCACTAATATATTTGTCACATTGTGACAAATAATGCACATTTACATTGCCTGATTACTTAACAAACTAAATGATATGCTTGACACGGTGTAACATTACGATGTTACATAGAAATAATAAATTGGTTTTACCCAACGCTGCTTGTCAGACTGTAATAAATATTGTTGTTACAGTGTAACAACACACTGAACACTAATGAAAGGCACCACTGCACATCAAAAAATAATATGAANCCCCCCCCCCCCCCAAAAAAAAAATAATAAATAAATAAAACAGGCATTTAGGAAAAGATTTAAAATTCAAAAAATTCTCTCCATTAATTGCATCATCTCAGAAAATAGGGTTTTGAAAAAACTTGTTCATATTCTAAAATGACAAATGTACGATTTCAAGAACATAGTGTAACAACACGCTGGGCACTAATATATTTGTCACATTGTGACAAATAATGCACATTTACATTGCCTGATTACTTAACAAACTAAATGATATGCTTGACACGGTGTAACATTACGATGTTACATAGAAATAATAAATTGGTTTTACCCAACGCTGCTTGTCAGACTGTAATAAATATTGTTGTTACAGTGTAACAACACACTGAACACTAATGAAAGGCACCACTGCACATCAAAAAATAATATGAAAAAAATTGGTTGTTGATTTTAAATTCTACACATTTGAAAGCAATAGATCGTTATATTAACATAGAACATATATACCCAAACTTGATATTGTTATTCGATTGTAAAATCGCAAATCCGTTGAGGCATTTGTGAAGCAATATTCGTAACAATATCTGAATAGGATTTTCTAAATAAAACGATCAAAATCCCAGTGATAACATGTAAAACCCGAAATGTTTTTGAATTTTTATGAAAAATGGTAAAATAGTAATTAGTCGTTAGGGTACGGGTTGAAATCTCAAATTTTTCTAGAACTCAGATGATGAAATGGATCTTATCGTTGGATTCGTCTCGTGAAATTTAGTTATCAAGTCAATTTTCATTAAAATTCGAGACAGTCAATTTTTTCACGTTTTACAAGGCAATCGGGTGCAGTGTGACCAAAACAAATTCGACCGAGAAATAAATTGCAAAACATGGAAAATAATTTAAAGTTAGTTCAAATAAAATATATTGAACTTGAAATGAGCAGAAATTTAATTAATTCGAGATAAAATCAGACCCGGGAAAGGCAGACATGTGATGCAACGAGGGCCAAGTATCCAAGGGTATAAATAGGAAAAAAAAAATCAGAATTCTCCCCAATACCCAGCTGATTTTTGGAAAAGAAAGAAGGGAGAGAGAAAAGAGAAAAACCAAGGTTCTTGCATCTTCTCTCTACGATCTAGGGTCAACCTTTGGTTGGAATCTTTCGTATTACGCTTCAAGAAGTAGGATTTTTCTCTTAACTAGGTTTATTTTCAACTTAGGATTTATATGAAATGAGTAGCATGACTTGGGATGATATCTCTTGTCTAAATGTATTTAGTGTAACTAGAGTATAAGAAATTGTATGAGAATAAATAAAACCAATTTTGCATGAATTGGGTATTGTTGAAATTGCTTGTTTGATAATTTCATGAGAAATGTGTTGATTGGACATGATTATGTGTTTTAAAAGTGTTTGATAAAATGTCTAGGTTGATTTAGCATAGTTGTTTCATTGAAAATGTTATAATATGCTTGGTGTGAATATGAAATGTAGTTATATGCTTCATGATATAAGTAACATTGAGGAATTGTAAATTATTCACATTGTGCTCATGACATATTGAATAGGATGTTGAAAGTGCTCATGACATATTGAATATGATGTTGAAATTGCAATTGAAAACTTGGTTGCATAATGGTGCAAAATGCAATGGAACATACATTGCATACGCACGGGTAGCATCACATTCGTGGGCGTAGGACATGAGTGTGGGTGTGTGTGCATGGTTTTGATCAAGCACCATTTTTGGTGGATGATGCGTGAGCTTAAAAAAGTTAGACCAAGGTTCGACTAAGTCGCTTGAGTTTGCATTGAAAATAGGGTCGGGGTTAACAAGAAGGGCTAGATGGTCCTTTGGGTGCAAGACCCAGTGATTTAGATACGCACTCTGTTGGTATTGAGTTCATAAAGTGTGTCGGCATATGCGGAGCCGTTGGTGGAAATCCATGGATGCTGTGTCAGTTAGTGAAAATCCATAAATATTCACTTCAAGAAAGACCTGAGATTTATAATGGTCATTGGATGTATAACATCAATGGCGGGGGCTTAGAATACCCGAATTTATACGCATGACATTGCATGTGTTATAGGAGCCGGTGAAGGCCCGGGTTGCATTACATGTTTGAGTCTCAGCTCATAAAATGACATGACAGTATAACATTCATTCTTGAAGTTGCATGTTCTTGGATGAATGCTTGTTTGATTGTTGAATTACATGTGAGCATTTTATATGCATCTAGATTGGGGAGTAGACTCTTTAGGAGATACCCTATTGAGCGTGACTCACTCTTCATGGGGACAACATTTCAAGTGCAGAGCAAGCGCCGCTGGATGGCTCTCACTTGGGGGCCTCATTGATGTAGAAAGCCGAATTGTGGCTTTAAATTACATGGTTGTAAAATAAGTGTGTAATTAATTTTTTTTATATATGTAATATTGTATTAGGATCGTAAAGCGAACTCATATAAACCATACTTTAAGTAAAATTTGATGTTAAATGACTTTGGATGGATAGATTCTTATAATTGAAGTTCTGAAGGCCTTTAGTTGGCCACAAAGTTTTTTGTTTGTGTTTTACACTGCTATATTTCTCGCAAATAAACTAGCATCTCAAACAACTTATATCGACTTTTTTTTTCTTGGTCAAGTTTGCTATGCGAGTGTAGAATTCAGTCATGTGTGATTATAAAATCCATTTATGCTATAGTAGTTGATGAATGATTGTGTTTAGGTAGGCACTTTAGTGTGATGGTGAGTTTAGCTTGCTTTATGATATGGTTATGAATTTGAGGTAGGCGGGTGTGACTGTGGTTTCGAATAATTGTCAAATCCAATGAAATTCCATTACATTCCTGTGCTTTGTGTAGAGGAATGTAATGAAATATTTCTATTTTTATGGTTGTATATTAGAAAATGTTGATCTCTTTAGTTTGGTTTTAGTCGGGAACATAATAAAATATGGAGATTTATTTGAATTTCATGATTTGAAAGTAATAGTAAATTGAGCTCGTGATTTTGACCAAATTTGAATATAGATAAAGTCTTTTGTAATTAATGATTTGTTTTCTAAATAATGATTTTTTTTGTTTGTTACACACTATCTTCAGGCATGGGTAATATATATATATATATATATATTTTTTTTTTTTGTCAAGTTGAGCCCAATTATATATTAGGATTGAACCAAATTTTATTAATTTGGGGTTGGGTTCAGATTGAACTTAATAACTCGAGGCCTCAACCCGGATATTGCCTGAATTCAATTCGGACCGAAGTTTTTGAACTCAAACCCAACCCAAGTTTTTAAAAGAGTTTTTTTTTGGGTGTTGATATATTTTTTTAGATTATTTGAGAGAAAGTGTATAGATAAATTGTTTACTCTATTAAGTTCAAGTTTAATAAAATATATTGTGATTAAGTATAAAATTCAAATGACATTTTATTTATTTTACTTACTTATTATGTGACACCCCAAAATCCGGGGGTCCGTTGATTACCCATCAACCCGCGGAATANATTAAATTAATGATAATCCTCTGCAAAATATTTTAAACTAGCAGAAACTGATACCGTTGCCCACAGTTACAAGACAACAAGTTCTCTTAGGGGTAAGCTAAATTGTATGNAATAATTGAAAAAAACTTTGCCAATTGCCATAAGCAGACGCACACCTCCATAGTAACCTTCATTTTGCAACCGATTCACCTGTCAGACAAAAGGTTGAGAGCAATTTATTTATCATAGAACTTGATGGAAATATACAGAATATCTAAATGGTGATTCTAAAGGGAATCCGTGTCACGACAAACATTTTCACGAGTGAGAGATATAGAGAGAGAACCAAAATATGTTTCTCAAAAATGTAATGATTAAATTAATGATAATCCTCTGCAAAATATTTTAAACTAGCAGAAACTGATACCTTTGCCCACAGTTACAAGACAACAAGTTCTCTTAGGGTTAAGCTAAATAGTACGTACTAAATTTGGAACTTATATGGTTACCTCTTAATATGTTACAAGTGAACAATCATCCAAGGACACTAGATCTTCTCATAAATAACAGGTTTCAGTTAGCATTCTGTAGATGGCTACGAATCTTCATAAGAATAGGCCAGAACTCTCAAGCACCAATTGTTACTGATATACCTGTGTCTATGATAATTACAGACTCTTAGCACTGTTGCACCTCAATAAAGCCATATCAACTACTCTACATCACAAGTTTGCTCTATCAAAAGCAACAACCACTGCTAAATAATCCTTCACCACCTCTCTTTTCGCAATCTCAACCCATTTCTATTTGACATCACTTCGTCTAGAGGTTCTATTTTAACTTCCCAGATAACTCCGTGTAGCAGACAACAATTCAATACCAGTTGTTATCAAAATCTATGACCATGATCACCCCCAATACACACCTGTAAGCTCCTCTCTTCCCAAGGATCACATGACTTGCATCTATAGGATTAATTGTCCTAGCATAACCACAATCCTTGCCGTAAATTATTAGATTTTTCGAACCACATTCGTCCAGCAGCTCAAAAGTAAACCAACAAATTGGATACCACATAATATGTGCATATCTGAAGATATCCCCTACTTTTATTATATGGCTAAAATACCACTTTTCTACTTCTAATCTAAGCTGGTTTTGCTTGGCTTCCATATATTAAAGTGTCAGGATCATCCAATTTACAATTGAGATGCAAAATGAACAGGATCAGTAACACATTAAAAAAAAACCTAATCAAGATTCAAACAGTAACTTAAGGCAACTGGACCTCCTAGACAACTAAAAAAGCATAATAACTCGAGCAATAAAAGCTCTCCAACAGCAAAATACAACTACTATTGAGAGATACATGATATTTCAGAGGATCACAATTTTCGGCATATGAGAAATTAAATGTAGAGCACCAATTATACACAACAAGATCAAATCACTCACAGATCGAATCATACACCATCCCATCGATACAAGCAATCTAAATTTCACCACCCGTTCTTAAAATATTAATCTAACCAATGCAAAACAAGATCCATTATCTTCTACAATGCTAGTCTCGAATTGCAGATCAAGATCAACAAAACATACAAAGATATATGTAAAAAAAGAGCGAAAGATAAGTAGAGACCAGATGACCAATGGAATTGAACTGGACGAGATCGTGAGTAGGGTGAGGAACGATGACGAGATCATTGGAAGGCTCCAAACGAACAGAAGCCCAGAAGTTTGCGAGGCTGAAAGAGATGGTGCGACCATAGTAGACATCGCTGGGGTTGCCGAGAAGTCCCACTCTCGCATACGCCTTGTGCTCGATCACACTCCGATTTTCAGATTCGGTAGAAGTTTTTCGATCCATTGCTTCTCTTCCTTCGATTGTCGGACTCAACATTGAGTTTTGTTTTTTTCGATATTTATCAAAGTTGTTATATTTATGGTTTTAGGTAAAACATAAACAACTCAGCATTAGATGAATCCTACTACTAATGTGAGTTATCGAGTCCAATTATAATAAAAATGGGAAAAAATTTGAATCTATATTTTATAATTTTTAAATTTGAATTATTTTATATTCGATAGAATTAATTTTAGTTCAAATTTAATCTAATCCAATTCAATTCTGTCGAAGCGATCCAAACATCGCCATGCTGAATTGACTAGGACTTGGGATGATTCAATTTACCGGGACCGTTAATTTCATAGTGTGGGGTTATACCATGAGACTCGACTAGACTTTTTGCTGAGTCCGCAGTTTTCTGCAATCTAGGCTTCACTGTAGAGGCTAAGAATCGAGTTTTGTTTTGAATCTGATTTATATTTAAATTCATTTAATTAGATATAAACTAATATATTTTATTTATTTATCTGAATTAATTTATATCTTAAATCGAATATGAATATATATAAATTCAATTTGAAGAAAATTCAATTTGATTAATCTACATAATTGTTTGAAATTTTATCCTATACATATTTCTCTCAAAATTATTTCATTGCCTATTTGATATTTCTATCGTATATTTAATCATTTAATATTTGATTAATTTGTAATTTAATATAATTTTTATTTTAGATATTATCCAGACACGATAATATACATATATTGAAAAAATTATCAAATTACGTATTTTTGTCGATATTTGTAAAAATATATTAAGTAAAAATAAATTTTAAATGATGTAATCAAATAGATGAAGAAAAGAAAAATTAGTATTTAATATAGTGAAATTGATTTTTTAGATGTTCGAATTTTATATTTCATCGTGTCTTTAAGCACCGGTTATAACTAGTATATATATGCATTAACTTTTATTACATAAAATATATGTGTGTATCTATATAATAAAATATAATACAATTCAAATCTCAAAAAATAAACAAAATTACTTATATTTTTTGCGGTTGAGATCTATTTAAATTTTACTTTAAAGTTAACCGACGGCTAATATTAACATCCCGAATTTAATAAAGAAAATTAGGAGTATTCAAATTTTCAATTAACCATAATTTCCTACCCTACCAATTGACCGCAATTTCCTACCCTACCCTATTAAACGGCTAGCCACAAAAAATAGAATAGGGATGCGGAAGGGTTTTTAGTCTTCCGATTAAATTGAGTAGGAATGCGGAATGCCCATCAATTTCCACATTCCTACTCTACCCTACTTGTAAAAAATATATTTAACTTTTTTATATTTTTTTAGTAATTATAAGAGTATTTGTGTGGTATAATTTATATTATAACATTGTTCTTGTTGTGTATGTTTGAGTTGCAAAAATATGGACTTGTTTTTTGTGTAGGTTACATGATTTGTGGTGAACTGGTAATCTATTAGAGCAGTTATGATTTTAATGTGTTTCATATGATTTAAACTTAAAATATTTATTATTATATTTATGTAACAATTATGATATATTGATATTCATGTTTTCTTATGTTTTATTGTAATTATAATTGTTGTTATAGTTGTTTTAGGTTTTAGTGTTATTGATTTATTGTGTTGTTAAATTGGTGTATGTTATTTAATTGAATTGTTAAAATAATTCAAAAATTAATAGCTACAAAAGTGTTTATCCAACTTCCTACCTGATTAATCGGGTAAGATAAGTCGAGAAAAATTTTTTTTGCAAAGTATCAAGTAAGAAGAAAGAAGACTATATTTTCTCCTCGTAGGGTAAGGTGAACACCCCTAGAGAAAATAAGCCCTAATGATGTGTTTAGGATAATTTTTTAAAAGTATTTCTACAACTTATAACTTTTCAAAAATACTTAAAAAAAAATAGTGTTTGGAACTGTCTCCCCACCATCATTAGTACAACCACTACCTATCACTCCACCACCACAACTAACCCCCCC